CTGGCACTTCCGCTTCCGCAGCAGGGACCTGCCCCCAAAGAAGGAGTGGGGCTCTTTTATTAGTTGGGATGTATTACATAGACCATATCGTTCTATATTTCAGTCACGTCCAGTAGAATTGTACAGTTGCCACCACAATCCGTTTCCAACCATTCTTTTGACATCCTCTCCCTTTGATCCTTCTTCCTTTGTTTCAACAGTTTGAAGAGCACCTGATCTACAATTCGACAATTCAACCACATCAAGCACAATTGTCACCATATTCAATTCCAGAACATTTTCTTCTTCCTTGTAGTCATTGTTATCCGTGTAATTATTATTATTTTCTAATTGTGGCAAAAATATACACAACAGAACATTCTCCACTTCCACTTGTAGAATTCAGTGTCACGGGTTATACCCCTCCTGCTGGGCAGCTACTGTTGATTATTCTACCACCATGGACATAAACTCAGTGGCCCCTACAGACCCTTTCCCCTTCACCTATGGTAACCTGGTCAAGTTTGGCTTCACAGAATGAATCTTGTGTTATCAAAGGCACAGACAACTCTGAAACGGTGACAATGAGGCGCAAGTGGTGCCTGATGGGCGCCTGGGGGCGGGGGGGTGCTGGAAGGACTGGCCAAAATAATTGAATTTTAAAGACTTATGTAAAATACGAGAAAGCTCCCCCCGCCTCCCAAACCTGGAAACAGCTCCGCTGGACAGAGCTTTTGTTATACACACTTTCCCCCCCACTAAGCAAGTGTCAAGCAACTTGCTCTGAGTTAGTGCACCCAGTGGTTTTTGCCTGGGAAGGTTCTCTCTGGTCATAGTGAATTTTTTCATGAAACCAGTTTCGCTCGAACCTCGTTATTTGTGACGGCTGATCTAAGAGAACAGTGTGCGGCTGTCAAATTTTGTTTCTTGCTCTGGAAAAATGCCACAGAAACTATTGTGATGTTGAACACAGTTTACAAAGGGAAAACTCAAGTATACGCGTGGTTTTCTCATTGCAAAAAAACGTGAAATGTTGATTGATGACAGACCTTGTTCTGGATGTCTATCAATTTCCTGAATAGATGAAAATGTCCATTCATTGCATTTTGGAGTTTGTTCCACCAGGTCAGACTGTTAATCAAGTTTTCTATTTAGGGGTTCTGAAAAGATTGCGTAACAGTGTGCAACAGAAAAGGCCTTATTTGTGGCAGACGGGGGACTGGGTTTGCCACCACAATAATGCACTGCTGAAATAGCTATCTCAGTGCACCAGTTTGGGGCAAAAACCCAGTATGCCTCTCTTGCCCCATGCACCTGACCTCTCGCTGGGTGACTTCTTTTTGTTTCCACGAAGAGGGACATGAAAGGACAGCGACCGTGACGATGAATTTGTAAAGGTGAAGAAAAAATGAGGGGGTGCTATCAGCTTTCCAAATCCAAACAGATAAGTTTGACAAATGTTTCCAAGAATGGGACTGTAGATTTGACAAATGTATCAAGTGTAATAGAAAGTACTTTGAAGGTGATAAGCTTATCTTTTAAAAAAACTTAAATACCTATCTTTGAAAAAAATTCATTTTGGGGGGTAGCCCTCATAAACTTAAATAACAAGCACCTCTGGTTTGGAAGGTCTGCAATGGATTTTGAGCGTCCACGGTCATCTTTAGTTTTCTGCAAACTGGGTGTTCATAACTTAAGCTCTGATACCGCTCCCTCCTTTGGATTTCAGTTTTATTATTTACAATCCTTGGATCACACAAGCCAGAGTGCTTCTTCCGTGTGGGCTGTTTTGGTTTTTAATATTTTCTGCTTTTCGATGGAGGTTTTACTATGCTTTGTCTAGTAATTGTTGGTTTTGCTGTTGTTTGTGCTTTGTTATGGTTTACTGGATATGAAATCCAGAGCGGCAGTAACCAGATTAAGCATGACCTCAGGGGCATGGCAGGGGAGGATGGGGGATACAAGGAGCTGAAAACGAGAAGAACATGCTATGAAATGGATTGTGGTGATAACACTTTTTTAAAAAAAAATCTTTTATTAGGGGCTCGTACAGCTCTTATCACAATCCATCCATCCAACCATGTGTCAAGCACATTTGTTGCCATCATCATTTTCAAAACATTTTCTTTCTACTTGAGCCCTTGGTACCTATCAGCTTCTCATTTTCCCCTTCCCTCCTCCCTCCCTCTTATCTTTTAATGTCTTACACTGACCGATGTCTCCCTGCACCCACTTTTCTATTGTCTGTCTCCCCTGGAGGGGGTTATATGTAGATCACTGTGGATGGTTCCCCTTTTCTCCCCGCACCTTCCCCTTCCCCTTCTGGTATCTCTACTCTCAATATTGGTCCCGAGAGTTTTATCTGTCCTGGATTCTCTGTTTCCAGCTCTTATCTGTACCCGTGTACATGCTCTGGTCTAGCCGGATTTCTGAGGCAGAATTGGTGGGGGAGGAAGCATTAAAGAGGAAAGTTGTATGTTTCAACTGAATAGCACAACTCTTTAATATGAGCAAACTATTAAGTTGCAATGATGTGTGAACTGCAAAAAGTAGCAAAAAATCCAGTTTTCTATTGATTACATGTCAAAATAACCTTTGCGTCTAACGAGCTCAGTAACACACTCTTGTTTTTGCATTCACGTTGTAACGTGGCTCTTGGGGTGCTTTCAGCCACCCCCGTGGCTTGCATTCATTCATTTTGCCCTCAGTAGGGGACTTGCACGTTTAGCACGCGCACACCACCACTGCGGCCCCAGAGGTTGGAAACACTGGTACTGGAGTGGGGGGACGTGTGTGGGGGGAAGGGGCCCGGGTGGCATGCAGAGACTCAGGTGCCCGCAGCACCTGCCAGTTTTGATGGGCGCAGGACCCGGTAGTGTGCCCACGTGGCAAGAACACTGGTCTATGGGTTCCAGCTTCACCCAGGTCACTAGTGGTGTGACCAGGTCCCTTGGCTGCCGCCTCTCAGGTAGTTAATATAAAACGAATCAAATTGTGGTCCATTAACGAAGAAGCTACAGGGCCGGTGGAGGCCATGAGACGCACTAGGCCCAGAGCAACTTCCTTCAGCCAGTTTATAGTGGCCACCGCCGAAGGAAGCGAGCTGAAGGCAGACTTGCTAGCACCTAATCCACTTGGAATCTGTCCACACGCATCTTTCAGAAGTTTTGCCCCACACTTCTGGGGGCACTTCCGTCGAGTGGAGCGAGTGCTTACAGAACTGAAGGAAGCTTCCATCCCCCAGACTGCCTGCAAGGAGACAGAGCTGCTCCAGGGAGTGGGGCCCACGGAGAGGGAGTAGGGGGGAGCCCTAAGGCCAATGCCCCATCTGTTGGCAGGGTTAATTCTCAATGATGGGGCAGCCAGATGGGTGGTTTTTCCCTTCCCCCTTCAGGGAATCAACATCTGTTGTTGGCACCCTTGTTCAACCCCTAAGTCCTAGAAGCACTCCTGAATCTCAAGCCCCAGAGAGAGGTTCTCAGCTCTTTTGAAAATAAACTTCTTCGCTGCACACAGACCCGTGCACACATACACGGGGGAGAGGTTCCTACGTGTAATGTTACCTCTCACATTAATCTGGTCGGAAACCGAGTTCCAAGCTGTGTGCCCACCATCCCTACAAAGACTGACTCGGAGGTAGGAGGGGTGTCAGGTGGGCCGCCCTCTCCAGGTCACAGAAGCCCTTTTTGCTGTGTTGAGCTGGGGCGTAGGGGCTGCCGGGAGCTCAGCAATGAGCCGGGGCAGCAGCAGGCTGGCATTCCTGGCCTTTGGACGGGCAAGAGCGTTGAAGAAGAGATCAAGTTCAGGGACATGAGCTTCTCTTTGCTGAGACACCGTGCCTCAAACAGCAAAGGGGCACTTGCAGGCAGCTATCTGCCACCCAGAGGACAGCCAAGACGGAGGCTGGGAGTGAGGGGACAAGTCTGAGTGTGCCGAAACGCCTCCTGTGAGGTCAATGGCTGTCCGTGTGACCGTGCTCAGCTAAAAAAAGGAGTGCCCTCAACCCCCCAAATTGGGGCTAAATCTGAAACCTCCAACCTGGATACCTCACAGGATCCCACGTTCCTGTGATGCTCTCTCCAGAACCAAGGAAGGAGGGGTGGCAACCGAGGACCACTTGCGGTTAACAGTTTAGTGTCTGGTGTCCGAGGGAGCCAGGTTTTCTTGTGGACAGGGTGGCAACAGGTTCCTCGTTCTGGGGGGGCCTTATGCCAAAGCGGGGGCTACCGGAGAATGCATCAGTGAAGAAGAAAAAAGGAGTCTGGGGTGTGTGTGGTGAGCGAGCAGGAACAGTGAGAGTTGTGGAGGCGAGAACATTCGTCCTCGGGAAAGCTATTCCTTTGTCTGAAAGGAAATCAAGCTCCGGCAGATGAGGCCATTCGAGAAAAACCGGTCCACCCTGCCACCTGGTGGCCACCAAGGGCAAACAACAGGGGGATGGGAGCCGGTGCAGCCTGGAGTTGGTCGGTCCAACCCAGGGGAAGAGTCTTGGCTCTGTGGGGCTGCACTGCCCGGGAATTCCAAGACAAGTGGGTCTCCTGCGTTCAGCATTAGCTGACAGGGTCTAGGCCTGAGCTGGGAAGGGAAAACCAGGTTGGCAGATCCACTTGGGGACCCAGGTAACCGGCAGCAAAACCCCCAAACCACTCACTGCCGCCCAGTGGATACTGACTCACCGTGACCCTGTAGGACAGGGCCCAAGGGAGGACTGACTGCCCCGTGAGTTTCCAAGCCTGTAACGGTTTGCAGGAGTGGAGAGCCCCCATTTTGCTCCTGCGGGTTGATGGTTCCGGGCTGGTAAGCGTTACGCCCCGGGCAGCAGCCACTTCAATCCCAGGAAGGGCAGGGCTCTGGGGGAGGGACTTAATACTGTCTTCCAGACGATCCGGTCATTGCCTTCCAAGAGCTCCGCGAACAGAGCCCAAGCACTGCTGCTGCGAACACACGGGAAGGGAGCTTACAAAATCACGAGCTAATCGTCGAGATTCTTAGCATCTTATTGATCAAGGCCCAGCCAGTCGCCAAGGTAGATACACATTTTATTTTTTATAAAAAGTTTACAGTTTTCTTTGTACACAATTATGAAGAGGTTCTAGCCAGAGGCGGCATTTGTCCTGTTGGCAGAGGTGCCCACCAGGGTCATCACAATGCGAGGTGCAGGGGAAAGGCGGTCAAAAGCTTAGGTGTCAATGGAGGGCTTAGAAACCCCGCCTATCACTTCAAGTACCAACAAAGTACCAAATGCCACCAGCAACGTGCCCATTCCCTCCCAAGCCCACAGCAGAGTTGTTGTTGCAGGGGCGTGGCCCTGCCGCAGGTAAGTGGAGACCCTCCCTACACACCTGAGGGGCTGTTAGCTCGCTCCTTCCTCCACGGGCCCCCATCCCTCAGGTCGTCAGTCGGAGAGGTGTTTCGGAAGTCGGACCCCAGAAGTGTCGTTCTTGGCCCCAAATGATTTGGTTTCAGTCAACAAGGCTGCGCATGTTGAGATGGAAGATTCCTGCCGTTTGTGCAGGTTTCTCACTTTTCTGAGTTCCTAACATCAAAGGGTCATCAGCCCCTTTAAAATCAAACCCTAGTTCCCCCCAGGTGTTTGGGAGTTAGTGATGGTGGCTCTCAGCCCACCTCTCCGCCTGGTAAAAATCGGAGGCAGGAGTTGACCCAGGGTGTTCCTGAGGCAGCAGCAGAACCTGGTAAAGTGCTTAACTGCTGCACCACTAGGGTCCCTCTTCACGGCAGGTGGCTTAACAAAGTATGCCAGTCTACAGCCACGGAGGGCTTCGGGGAACCTGAGGGACGATGCCTGGGAGGGGAAGCATTCGCTCCTTAGGACCTTACAACAGCCCGTTGGCAACTAGAACAGCTTCTGAAGAAAGCCGTCAGGAATGGGAGGGAGGGCCGGCATCTGGGGACAATCACCTGGCTCTTCCCACAGGAACCTCAAGGAGGGTGAAGGCCCAAGAGCCGAGGGGCCAGCTTCTAGGTTGGCTACCGCCAGGACCAGGGGTGGGGCCTCCCGAGCAAGCCAGGAGCCCATCGCGGCGGCTCTGCTGGGGCCAGCTTGCTCGGAGGCGTAGGCGAAGTTTGAGTTCAGTCACTGGGACAGGGGCAGAGAAGGGCGTGCACCCACCCACCCACCACCAGGTCTAAGAGCACAGGAGGGGCCGAGAACAGCTGAAAGCAGCTGGGCCCACCCCAAGCCCTTTACAACCAAGGTGGCGCAGCCTTTCCAGGGGGATCTTGGGTGCCGAGTCCTCAGATTCACAGGCCAGGCCTTCCTCTAGCTCGCAACCCCTCTGGGGGGGTCAAACGACCCTTTCACAGGGGTCACCCAATTCAGAACAGCAGCAAAATGACAGTGGAAGTAGTGACGAAAATGTGATGGTTTGGGGGGGTCACCACATTAACTGCATGAGGAAGGTTGAGTCGAGTGCCCAGTGGAGAGAGAAAGCCACCCCCCACAGCCGAAACCATGCAGACTTAGTGCCTAGGAAGGGCAGATTCCCAGAGGAGAGGCTATCACATGCCGGAGCCCAATCACACCTTCAGCAGACTCGGCCACGCTCTCATACACACCAACCCCGCCCCCCACACCTTTCTCACACACACACACACTCCCTGGCCCACTTCCCCAAAAGTAGCCGCATTCAGATCTGCTTTAACCACTGTACCCTCCTCCCCCACCCCACTCTTCTGGGGTTTGTGCGCCCTTAGCTAACCTGGTGCTGGGTGCTCAAGGCCGGCAGGTGGATGTCGTGGGGCAGAGCTGTGTCGCCGCTCACTCGCCCATGCCTGCCCTGCCCTCGGCTCAAGAGCCACTCATCCCTGGGCATGGTTTTTGGACCGGTAATTAGAACACTATTGCTTATGCAATATTAAAAAAATACAATTTTTTATTGTCTGAACTGTAATCACCACCCAGTACTCGAAGCCTACCCTAAATAGCACCTACAGTCAAGGTTATCACACAAGCACACTGCTAGTGGGCAGGAAAGCAGGTTCGACAGTGCCAGCAGACCCTCCCTACCCCAAAGCAGAGAAGACAACGTGCTAGGTTAAGAGTGAAAGTACACCATTACATGTCCAATAGTTAATACTACCCTTCCAACAGGCCACAAAGACTAGAGTTACTAACCACAGCCCTACTGAACTGCACTTAAAAAGAAAATTTTTTTTAAAGAAAACCTTTTGCTTCGTGCCCGTAATTAACGTAAGTAAATTATTATGTTTTATTTAGGAAAATAATCATGCTAAAAGCAAGTTGTACTTTATATAGATTTTCAAAGAAAAGATTGATTGTGCTTTTTTTAAGAAACAAAAATTAAAAGAAATAGGATATCTTCCAACCTCATTGACTCAAACTTTGGGGAATACAGCACTCCTAAACTAAAACCCACACCAAACAGGTCCCCCGTGGGGACTTCAAAACGGTCTTGAAACGCTTTGGGGATGGGCTGGTTCTGTCCTACTGGTTGTGGCAGCAGAGGTACAAGGCTACAGTCTGGAACGTTTCCGGTTCTCCTCCAAGTTCGTATCTGAGAGGCTCTGCCGGCAACCACAGACATAGGGTTAGCCGAGGACACAATGTGCTTGGCAGGCATTTCCAGCGGTCTGATTCCTCTTGACGTGCACACAGGAGAGCAACTCCTTCCCTTCAAACCTGTTCTGCCGCCGCATCCCATCGGATGGGAGTCCCTCCTCCCTCGCCAGTCGCACTCACAATAAAGCTGTGTTTGTTTTTCCCACGAAGAGTCACTTTGGGTCTAAGAACCTTTATTTGTTCCAATTATTACTCATTTTCAATTTAAAATGTGTGTTGGGTCTAAAGTACCCGTTTCCCACTCCCACAAGCAGATGGTGACCCGGCTGCTGCCAGGCAAGTGGCAGAAGGGGAAACAGAAACCAGCCGTGAAAGGGGGCAAGTGGGCCCACAGCCACAGCGCTGGGCGGCGTCGCAAACCAAGCCGGCTGCAGGCTTGCACCTGGCCCCGCCCCGAGCCCCTCACACCGAAAGCTCTTCGTCCCAGCGCGCAGTCTCCAACGGCCAACGGGATGAGGCTGCGATCTGTGGTTCAGGTGGATGGAAGCATCTTCCCGGTCACTTTTCTCCTCCTGTCCTGTCCTCTCCAAAAAAGCTCTACCCCCAAGAAAAAGGGCCGAAAACACTCAAGAGGTTCTCCAACGCAAAACGTGTGGCTGCTGCAGGGCACAGTAGCTTGAAGGGCAGGCGTCTACATATAAAATGTACTTAAAAAATCCGAGTCAAAAGAAAAGAAGGGAAAAAAAAGGCTTTACGTTTCAATACTCCGATGAGCTCCCTGCTGCACACACTGGTGCTGCACAGGAAGGGCCACCTCGGCTCCCAGGAGGGAGGGCGCAGGCACTGGCGTGGCCGGCTCTCGGGGGCTGCTGGCGGTGGCAGCAGCGGCCTTTCCCCTCCCTAGTGGGCTCCTCTTTGTTTGGAAAAAGCACTATTCTATCTTCACGTCCATAAGCTGGTGGGTTGGGTTGGTTGGTTTTCTTTGGAACCATCAATCAAGGGTGGTGGCAACTCAGGCCTACCTATCAGAGCGGCCGTTTCTGGTGGTGGCGCAGGAGCGCCTGGTGGCCTGGGCCAGGGCTGTATGAAGGCATGCATTCCAACTGCATATTGCTACCAAAATGGAATGTGGGAATATGCTATGCACCTCAGGGTGACAAATGACCAATAAATCAAGATCTAAAGGGTGATATATAATCTATATATATCAATGCTATTATTCATAAAAACCTTGTTTAGTAATAAAAAAAATTGCTTTGTTTAAATATGAATATTATAGTCTGCTTCTCATGGTTAGGAAATAATAGTCTTTTCTGAAAAGCAGGTGCATCTTCTACTACAACTCCATGTCCTGGGCCTCGTCTTCCGAAAAGTCAGACATCGAGCTCTCCGACGAGCTGTCGCCAGTGCCCTCCTCCTGCTCCTTCAGCGCCTCCTCTGTCGCGTACTTCTGGATGTACTCTGCACGGGCGGGGACAGAGAACACCAGGGTCAGGGAGGCAGCCAGGGCCCAGAGCGATCCAAACACCGGCAGGCTCAGCACCCCTACCCCCAAAGTGCCAGGGGAGTGAGACAGAGAAGGCAGCTCTGTAGTCACTGAAATCGGAGGATAACCACCCAGGCTTGGGAACTGAGGGCCTGGACTTGGTCCGAGAGGACTGTGGAGAGGGGCAACAAGGAATGAATGCCCGGAGCCTGAAGACCCTGCTCACCACCTCTCCAGCAGAAGGGCAGGGCGGCCCACCAGGCAGTGGGCCCACTCCTCCAGGGTCCACCTGCTGGCCAGCCAGGGCCGGGCACCTAGGGCTTTCCTTACTTCCCAATATGGCACCACCTCTCCACATTTCTTGGAGCAGGGAGATGAGAAGTCCAGACAGTCCACGTTAACCAGACTGGGTACCTAACCTGCCTCTATGGCAGCTTATAAAGAAATGTCCCATCGCATCCTTTGTACGTAGATTTGAAGCTGTATAATCATAGTCAGCCCATCTCATTTTAAAAGTAAAAATAGAGTTTGCTCTCAGCAGGTTCGGCATGCAGAAAGAAGCAGGCTCTCAGTTGGAGCAGGACCCAGCTGCTCTGTGGAGACACTGGAAGCCCCTGACCAGGTGCTGTTCACTTGAGGGTCCCGGCCACTCAAACCCAGGCTGCACCAAGCGTTCCTGAACAGCTTCGTAGACCAATGAAGTCGTGCCTGAAAATCTGAAGGGCGACCTGTTTCCAAATAAACCAGAGGTTCTCAACCTGTGGGTCACGACCCCTTTGGGGGGGGGGGTGTCAAACGACCCTTTCACAGGAGCCACCTGATTCTGAACAGTAGCAAAATAACAGTTATGAAGTAGCAACGAAAATAATTTTATGGTTGGGGGTCACCACAACATGAGGAACTGTATTAAAGGGTCACGGCATTAGCAAGTTTGAGAACCACTGAAATAAAGTCTCCACACAGCACAGAGACCAGACTATCTGCAGCCTGTCTATCCAGAATGTGAGAACAAAATCGTGCCGGCCCTGCTCTGTGTCTCCTCCTGCCATGTGGACCTGCAACAGGGAGAGAAGAGAAGTGCTGAGGGGCCGGCCAAATGCAAATCCTGTAAAGCAGGGTTCTAGCTAAGAAGGGTGTTTCACATTGCTAAAGGTGGAGTAGGAGGAAGCCGCGATGGGCACCACTGTGTGGCCAAAGCTGGCCCCTGCAGGGAGAACGGAAGCTGTGGGCTCTGGGTTTTCCTCTCCGTTATCCTCAACCTTGACTCAGAGAATCAGCCTCCACAAGCCTTGAACCAGGGAGGAGCTCAACTGGAATTTACCGTGGAGAGAGAGGAGTGCTCACTAATGGCGTCTGGTGCCGGCGGCCATGTGGCTCCCTTGCAGAGACTGCTGCTCTTTGACGCAGCCACTTGATCATGCTCAAGGGGAAATACTTAAGTGCTTACAGTGACGCTGCCTTTCAGAATACTGGGAAATGAGTAAGGTTCCTGAAAGAGGAGAAAAGGGACCAACCAAGATATAGGAGTCCCCCAACTTATGCTGCCCTCGTGGGGTTACATTGAAGGGCACTTAGGGTGGAACATACTTGCGGTGTTCTTTTGCGCATTAGCGGTATGCACTACAGCTGAGCCCTGAACAATGTGGGCTTGAACCGCGTGGGCCCTCTTATATGCGGATTATTTTTTCTGTTCTTTAATGCCAACAACGATGTCTTCCTGGTGAAAGACGGTGTATCGCAGTAGAAAGTGGTCTCTCGTGGCTTGTGTCTCTTTTCAGGGTGCTCAGGCTGCTCCCATGGGTGGCCAGTTTTATGGGTGTCCAATGATAAAATCCTGCACAACTGAAGCAGGCACTGTACGCAGGCAGGGCACCTGAGTGGTGGTGACTGGCCATGCTGGGGGAATGCCATGGGCAAGCCCACCCCCCACCCACTGCCACGGAGTCAAGTCTGACTTGGAGACTCTCACAGTTTCTAAGACCATGAATCTTTATAGGAACAGCCAGCCTCATCTTTCTCCTAAAGAGTAGCTGGTAGGCTTGAACCATCAACCTTGTTGTGACTCTACTCAATACTCCAGACCCTCTACTTGGCCCCTGGCTAGGCACAGGCCCTTGGAAATCATCCCCTTGCAAAGACTGACCTAGAGGTCAGCTGGGAGAGGTGAGTTGAGTGGGTGGGAGCCAGGAGGCATAACGGAGGCAGAGAAAGAAATGTTTATGGAGAGGACGGTGGAAAAAAACAACAAACCACACAGCCTTAGAGAGGCCCAGGGGGAAGGGTCTTGGGAGGGTCCCATGGGGTTTTGAAGAAGTGGGGTGAGAGACTCAGGAGCCTTGAGGAGCTGAGGTCGAGGAGCCAGAGGTATGGTGCCGGCAGGAGACTGACAGCAGGAGGAGGGTGGTGACCTCGGATGGCGGCTCTGGCTGGTGGAGGAGTCCAGGAAAGGCCACGAGAACAAACGGAAGATGGGCAAGGAGGAAACCCCAAGCTTACATAAAAGGAGGCAGGAAGTCGGGGGAGCCCAGGACTGGGATGAAGATGATTCTCTCAAGTTCCTAAGGAAGACCACCTTGGGCTGCCATTCCCCAAACTGGAGCAGCCCACCTGAGCTAACTCGGTCAGGCCCCTTCGGCTAAGGGATCTTCATGTGAGAAACTTAGGATGTGCTTGAAGTGGAGTACATGGTCTTCTTAAAGTGTGTGTGTGTGTGTGCGCGCGCGCGCACGCACACAAGTGCTACGTAAATATCTTGCTACACAAATTATTAATTTGCAAAGCACTCGAACCTTAATTAATTAGACTAGATGCGCTTCTACTTTACTTCATCAAAAGCTTCATATGAGAGAGCCGGGAAAAGGAGAAAGCAACAAGAGGGAAAATGCTGAGGCCACACCGCTCCAGACACTCCTGTGTGCATGGCGACATCTGCATGTTTGAGGAGGCAGATGCAGCCTGGTAAGCGGTTTCTACTGTGACCCCTGTGGTACTTACACAATCTGGTGTTAATTTGAGGATTCAGAGTGCAGGGATGGAGTCTATCCTGTCAATCAGGATATAGTCAATGAGCCCTCTGTGTGGGCATAGCCTTCTCCTGAAGATTCTGGGAACTCCTGTATTTCCTCCTTGAAGGCGGGAGACACTGTCTCTCTGCTCACTCCCTGAGTGGCACTCTACTGACAAGACACATGGCACTAGGCTGATAGACCCCATGCCCTGGGAACTGGAGGAGCCACATGGAGACCCCTCCCAGCACTGAGATGCTTACACCGCCACTGGATCCACAAGACTTCCCACACATTGGCCTGTGATCCTGCTGCATTCGGCATCATTGCATGTGTTTCGTGAGTCTGAAGAGGGCTTTATAGACTGGCATCGGACATATGGGCTCATAGCGGACTTATGGACTTGATCTGGACTGAGCTAGGATGTTTTGTCAGTATTCAACTGCTCTTTCTTATACACGAGTGTGTGTGAATTTGTTTCTCTACAAACCCAGAGCCTCTAGACTGCTGTGCAGCGGGGCAGAGGAGCTAACCACTGGGGAAGGGACTCTGGGGGCTAAACACTGGGCTGCCTATGGCGTGGTCAGCGTTCAAACCCAGCAGCCACTCTGAGGGACAGAGGTGAGGCTGTCTGCTCCTACAGAGACTGTCTGGGAAATACTTGCCCTACTAAAAACCCCAGGGCTCCCGACTCTGAAGATGTGGAAACGATGCCTCACCTTCCTAAGCCCAAACCCGACCCACTACCATCAAGGCAGCTCTCACACACTGCACCCCTTCCCCAAGTTTCCAGGCCCATGATGGAGCTGATCTCCTGGAAGGCCAGGATGCTTCTCTTCACGAACAACGTCGAGGCTATGGCCCCTTCGGGGACTACTCTACTCTCCAGCCCGATCGCGGGGAGCCTCTGGGATTCCTGGAGGGATTATGTCCATCCCTTTACTCCCCGACAGGGGTGCCTTCTCCGTCATCCTCTCCTGCTGTGATGCCTGTACCCCTGTTTTGTAAAGATCGCTCTGAGCCCTGGCAGGACCCCTGAGTCACAGGGGCCAGTGACTTCTGCTCCAGACCACGTCAGAAACAAATGATTCAGAACCCAAGAAGGGCTTTGTCGTGACCAAAGTCAACAGACTGAAAGTCGCCAATTCCCAGTGCCACCACCATCTCCTTACCTTTAATTTTCTGTTTGTATTCTTCTGGTCGGTGGAGGTACATGGCTGCGGCGTCACCATTGAGAGGGTCTATGGGGTTAGGATAGGCCAACAACTGGGGAAGGAAGGACTCGAAGATATTGGTAAGATCTGAAAGAACAAATGGAAACTGGTCACGCGGGGGTGGGGGGACGAGCACGGGCCCCAAAAAGTCACCCAAGATGCGTCCTGTGCACGAGTTCAGCTGTCCGCTGTTCACAGGGGCCGTGGGCACACCCCCGGGAAAAGTCTGCTGCACGCCATGTGACCGACCACATACTCCTCTCAATATGAGCTTCTAGATGGTTACAACTCTAAGTTTAAGAGCCGGAGAAAGAAGCACCTGCTACTCATGCTACGTAATCCATCCATCTCCCCGTTTAATTGAAACGTGTGCCCCAACCGCACCAGCGCTCCACGTCCCAAGGAGGAAGTCGGGAGTGGGCAGGGCACAGCAAGTTTTCACAACTGCCACTGTGAAGAGGCTCCCAGTGCTAGAGCTTCACTGCCCCAGGACCTCACAATCCTCACGGCTACCGACGGCTGCACGGTGAACCCTGGACCACTCTGCGCCATTCTGTCTCCTCTTGGCCGGGGTACAGGTTCCTCAGGAAAAGTGTTCTCGAGTCCCCGTTCATCTCACTGTTAGCCAGTCTGTTAGGGGCACCCAGTCAAATGCAAGGAGACATCTTTCTGCTTTAAGCCAAGAAATCAGGCTGTATCCATATGCTGACTCAACCTGTGTGCCCAACAGATAACACGAGAAGCTGGACCACCGGACAAAGACGTGGAGCATTAGGACCAGAGGACGCTCGTTCACAAGACACCTCCTGCTTTATCAGCTGCATCAAGTGAAGGGGAGGGAAAGACTACAGCCTTCATCAGGGACCCCCCCTCTTCAATGTGAAGAAACAAAAATCCTCACAAGGGGACCAATGGTGGGCAGCTCTGCGAAAGACCTCCACGTGTTACAGAGGAGCAAGGTGCGTGATCTAAGTAAGCCATGCTATTCCTAACTGCCTTCTACGCACTGAGAGCTGACCAACGAGCAAGGAGATGGGAGTAAAACAGGCGCTTCGGAAGGATGGTGTCGGTGAAGAATACCGAAAATACCTTGCCCGACCAGGACAACAGATAAAATCTGTCCTGGACGGAGTATCGCCAGTATGCTCCTTAGAAGCAAGGATGCTGAGGTGTGGCCTCACGTCATTTGGGGAGGCCATCGGAGGGGCCAGTCCCTTGAGAAAAGACATCCTGCTGGGTAAAGCGGCAGCTGCGGCAATGGGCTCAAGCTACAGCTGTAAGGACGTCTCAAGGCAAGGCAAGCGGCTCACGTGGGTGAACACAGGGCTCCTGTGAGCAGCAACAGACTACATCTCTAACTGGTCAGGGTGATGGCAAACCCGGGGGCCGGAGAAGAGGGTGGTTGGACGACACAATAAGTGTACTCATGTGAAGCATGTTGAAGTAGCAAATGTCTTGCGACCTAAATATTTACCACAAAAATATACAGTTAAGATTTATAAATCAGTTTATTGGGGGCTCAACATTTACTTTTAATTGGAAAAAAAAAAACCAAGGTGGGAAGGCCCAGGGCCAATCTTGTAAGCCTTTCTTTTCTATCTAACAGAGCACGTGTCCCAGTTACGGTCCGCCCCTGCTCCTGTAAGGTCCTGATCTGCCACCAATCATGCTTTTGAGACCGTCTCCTTGGCAACCCGTGCCCCTCAACGAACCCAGGGACGCCGGTTCAACCTCATGTTGGTTCAACCTCCTTCATCCGGTGGCACGTCTGTCTTTGTCTCTTTTACGATTTAACATGTTCTCTTTAAATGAAAAATAATAAGACAACACTTCCCCATCTCTTTTCTACTTTTGTTTACATATGAAATACCTAGTCAAACAAGAAAATTGGAAGTTTAATTTTTCTTTTCCTCTATCCTCTTTTGGGGAGAGCACTCATTAACTTCAGTGTCAGGAGTGTGTGTATCTGAGCAGGGAAGTCTTAGTAACAGTAACACATTGTTGTAAGACTTCATTTCTAGAAAAAGACAAGGCGAGAGTTGGCAAGCATGCAGAAACCAAAGCCTCTTAGTGGTACCAGGAATGGGAGAAAGAGGAGGAAGGGGGCAGTCACTGTTTATGGAGTACTGAGTTTCTCAGGAAACCATTACAGAGGTTAAGGGCAGGGTTACCAATAAGTCACACATCTGTGAGAGATGGAATTGGCAACAGTTGTGATAAACTCATTTATGATCATTTGAAAAAGAGGGGAAAAGAAAAATGGATAACCATACACCTCCTCTAAGGCTTTCGTTTCTTAGTTTGGAGGGCCAGGGTCATGGCTTCCTGATACCTACCACCTAGTTGACCCAGTAGTGCTTCTGTCCGGTCTGCTAGTTTGACTGGGAGCAATAGAGGGAGGAGAGTCCTGACGAGGAGGGAGACAGGGCCGTTTGTGGCCGACTGTCTCCAGGAACAGCTGCTCCTCTGGCGTGGACAGCCTGGATGGTGCCTGGCGACCACCACTAAGTATTTTGATAAAGTTTCAACAGAAAAAGCCTCATGAAAAAGGGGACTGGGGAAAAAAGGGAGGAGGGGGGTAATACGCAGAACAGAAGTCCTCAAATTTTCAGAATCTCATCTTTTTGGAGTACAGAGGCTAGACCAACTATCACTTTGAAATAGTCTTTAAACCTTATATGAAAAATATCCCAAGTGTTCTGTACACCAAACAGCAGGCTAGCTTAATTCACAGGTAACGTCTGCCTTGAGCACTGTGCTCGTACGAACTATCTATCTCGAAGGGACCACGCTGACAAGACAGCCAGTGGAAAGACTAGATAGGAACCTTAGTGGGAAGCTGGTCTATGCTAGGGAGGGAGGAGGGCCAGTTTCGGAAAAGGAGGGAGAGCATGGTTGTTGGGCTCGAGGGAGGTAATCCACACCACTGCACCACCAACAGAGGTTGCTGGCTTGGCACACATTCCACTGGGTATATACTCGCAACGGAAAGAAGAAAGGTAACGTGAACGGTAAGGGCAGCAGCCACTTTGGCTGCAGGGTGCCCACCTACAAACCAGGCTCTCTGAAGTCCTCTCTCCAGACACACTGGCTTCCAACAGAGCAAGACCCCAGGCACAGCTGCATTGTACAGGAGGCAACTGAGGCACAGGGAGGGGTGAAGCAGCCTGCACCTGGGCTTCAAATTTCAGTGTCACCACTATGTTGGAGAAAAGGGCCATCTCCACCTTTGTGATGGGGTCAGCTCCTCCCACAGGCTCCTGCTAGGTTCAGGGAGGCCTGGATCAGAGAGAATGACCTCTCCCACCCTCCTCCAAGTGCAAAACTGCAGGAAGGTGTGCGGCAGATTGAGTTTGGGTGTTTGTGGGGCTGACCTGCCCACTATCTCAGGCATGGGTGCCCAACCAGTTAGTAACACGTGGCTGGTCTCAAACACCAGTTACGGTGAATGGGGCGTATGCGCTTACTACCAAACCAAAATCAAACTCACAGCGACATGACAAGACTGTAGTTCTTCATGTGAGTACAAAGCCCTGTTTTTCTCTTCCGGAGCGGCTGGTGGTTTCAAACTGCTGACCTTGCAGTAGCAGCCCGACTCCTAACTACCATGCCACCAGGGTTCCTCTGCTGCTATGACAGATACTGCTCAAAAGGATTAGCAGCCTGAGTGTCCCTAGGAAAATGACACAATCAAAACCCTTTACAAAACAGATCTCACTACTTTTAAGTAATGTGCCTACATGTTCCGGGCTGGAGCAGTAGAGCAGATGACGTATTTCGTAACCAGGAGGTCCATGTGCTTCAGGAAGAGATTTCACACCCTCCTCTCCGCTCAGCTCATTTCCTTATGTCTGTCTAGGCATTTGTCCCACCACCAGAGGCAGACCAGACTGATCAAGGACCAGCTTTTGCTTGCTGGGTCTCCTCTCTCCCTACACGTGCCAACTCCCAGTCACTGCGGCTTCCCAACATCTCCCCTCTCCCCATGTTATCGTAGCTCCTTAATGACCAGAGAAAAAGCACAGGTACCCTTTCAATAGCCCACTGGCTGGCGTGTGCTCATGTTATAAGAAATTATACCCTCCCCCCAAAGCATTTATTTCAAAGGACGGCATTGAATCTGCAGCTCCGGGAGAGGAGGAGAGAGTGGAGCACATCCTGGCCCACCTGGCCTTGAGGACAATGATCCCAATTAGAGCAGCCAATCCACAGAGAGGACCACATGGCCGGCCCCACTATGAGACATGACGCCCCTCACTGACCCATAGCCCTATAGGGGACAACACCAGAGACACAGTGTGGGAATTGCACCTGATCTGATCCTGCCACACTGAGGCAAAACACTAAGGTGGTGCAACAGAACAGCAAGGGAATGGAGCAGCGAGGTCCCCAGGGAATACTGAAGATGGACTTTG